CAAATAGAAAGAATCTCTGTTTGAGAAGAATATTCTTTTTTAGCAAGATAAAACCTAATATTGGAGTAGAGAATCTCCATATTCATCAAAATATAGACCACCAATATATAAATAAAACGAGGAATCATAATCTATAAAAGAGAGAAAACTTCTACTCAAATTTTAGTATCGATAACTCTTCCTACTCATTTCCTATCTTATAGGATGGGTCTCTATCACCCCCCTCATATATCTAAATTATAATGACTTAAAATTCATGGAGTTATTTAGACCTTAAATTAATGAAAAAGTTCTACGTTAAGATCATATGCTTCAGAAAACTTAAATAAACTATCGCATTCATTTATAACAGATATTGGGATCAGTTTTAACAATCTCAATCATTGAATTTTGGTAGGTTTATCTAAAATCAGTTATTCTTAAATGAATAAGAATCTCAATAAAATGTCATTTTAAAATAAAAACAGGATAAAAGTTTTCATTTTGCATTAGAGAATCTTAATAAAGGATCAACCAATAAAATTTCTAACTGATTCAAGTTAAAAAATAGAATGTAGTAAAATTATTAAAAATAATAATTAGTGTATAATTCTATGTATTTAAAAAAAAAGTAAGTAATTCAAAATTATTGGAAAGTGATTTTAAGTCAAATAAGCTTGTTTTAAGTATGTGAACTTTAAAATTTAAATCTAAAGTTCCTTTATAGTATTTTTTATATTATGAGTTAGTCATCAAAAATAAATTTCAAATAGAAAAAAAGATGACAAATGGATTGAATCTGCGGTATAAATTGAAATAACATTTTCGTGTTTGAAAATTTAGGTGGTCATCAAAAATACATTTAGATCTAAATTAATGGAGGCGACTGGATAAATTGAGGAGTGTGAAATTAATAATATCTAATTAAAAATTAAAGTCAGCCTTATACCATAAATCAACCTATAATTTGTAAAACCGTCATCTTTAGATATGCATATTAGATTATTGCTAATGCTTTTCAAAAAATTTTTAATCAATAAAATTGATATATATATCTTGTATCAATATTTGCAAAGACTATTATTGAATGTTTATTAAATACGCAAACTGTTGCATTAGAATAGCTACATTTACAAATTTAATTCAATATTTTATGTTTGAAATAATTTTAAACAAGTTGTAGAATAGAATTACTAGATTTACAATATTATTTTGATATTGTTATTGAAAATTATTTTCCTAAAACATGCTGTATAGAATGACATTATTAACAGTAAAACTAGCAACTTTAAAGTATTGAAATGTTTCCTCAAACCGTAATATTAGAATTGCGAAATTTTCTTTGAATGAAAAATAGTATAGTATTAGGCAAAGAGAATTTTTTTTATAGCCAAAGATGTGTAATTTTTAACAATTTCAGAATTGTGAGAATACTCCCCATTATTTTTTTTCCATTTTTTTAATCCTAAAATATTTTTACCTCAACCTAAACTGCTAAAAATGGTAAATTTTGGAAATTATCAAATTTATAAATCCAGGGATCACATTTCTGACATTAGTCTTGCTAGATAGATTTTTTTAGCCAAAACGGCTGGAATATGAATGGCTTTCCTAAGTTCACTACGGCCCAAATACGAATGGCTAAATTTTCCTAGCCAGTACGGCCAGAATATGGATGGTTTTCCTAAACTCCCTACAGCCAGAATACGAATCTCTATCAATTTATTATTCAAATCTAAAGGAATTTTGATATTCATGAGGTTAAAAGTTTTAAGCTAAATGAAGGGCGAAACTCTATATTTGAAAAAAAGCGATGCATAATTTTCATGCTACTCTAAATATATAAACCTTTACTTCATAGCCGCATGATAGTGATATTAATTTTATTAGTTAAAGTATGTACAAGTAAGAGAATAAATCTCACATAAATCATTAATTCTTATGATCTGCTTGAAATTACATTCCACTTATTCAGGTTTTTGGAAATACAATTTATTATTTCATATTTTATAACCAAATCCATACATTTGACCATTGAAACTTTTTGCATCACTCATCTCAAATTCATTGTAACAATTCATAAGTTCTCAACTTATAATTTTAATATATTTTGTTTTGATATTGAAGGATTTACACAGCCTAAATGGGTATTAAGTTGATCAATAAATAAACAAAATACATCTATGATTAGATTATAAAACACAATAACTGATGATAGAAAACATTGTAAATGAGGATAGCTTTTAAAGTTAATTGAATATTAAAAATATCTATAAATTTATGACATATTAAAAGAAAAATGTTTAAATAATTATCATTATTATATTCACGATTTTACCAATTCCGATTAATCCTAGTAAGGGTTGTAAATTGTTAAATATATTATTTAGGATCTGCATTAGCTGATTTGAAATAATATCAAGAAGCAATTCAATGTTCCCATGAAGCCATTTCTATTAATCCTCAATATCGTGCTATTTGGAATAAAAAGTGTAATTAATTGTTAAATTATTATTTTTAGGTAATGTATTATTAAGATTGAATAAATATCAAAAAAAATTAAATATATTTATAAATATTGAAAACAATAGTTACTAATGGAAACTATTTAAAGAATATCAAAAGTTTTTAATAGGATTATATAATTTATCTCCATATACAATACTATATTTTTAGTTAACTAAAATGTACCAAAGAAATTTATGAAATAAAGGTTGTATAAAATGCAGTTATTAATTAAAGGACTTTTCATAAATATTAAATTTGTTTCAACAATATAGAAATTTAGTTTTAGACAAAAATATATAAAGGAGTACACATGTGCTATAAATGTTTTTAAA